GTTATGAAACCTCCACAGGTTGTCCGAGTAGGAACCAAGAAAACTTCTTTTGTCAATTTTACAGATATCTGTAAACTGTAAGTGGGCTAGTGGAGACCCTTCATTCCAAATACCAACCATATTTTATTGTTAAATGTTTTTACAGTTCTATAGGTTGGAAAAGTACGTAGGGCATAGGTTGACATAAGTCACAGTTCATGTCTGTCTGTCATCAGAGCACATTTTATCTTGGCATCTAAAGATGAGAAGAGTAAGTTTAATACTGACTGATAAGAGGGGACCCTAGGGGCTGGAGAGATGACTCTGGTACGTACCCACACGGCAGCTGACAACTGTCTGTCTATAACTCCAGTTCCAAGGACTATGATGTGCAGGCAAAACACCCATACCCATTGTGGGTTGGGGATGGTAGATACAACCCGAGTCAGGAGTGAAGAGGATGGATATAATCCTCAAGCAAGGGGTGGGCCTGCCAAATAAGCAGTCAACTGGGGAAGTAGCTGAAGGTAAGCTTCCTTGATTGTCAGGACCCAACGAAAGAAATTTTTAGTTTTTAATCACCATTGTATCTTGTGCTGGGGTCAGGTCACTGCCTGAGCCTGGCTTTTTTCAGATTTGTTCAGCTGTGCCCTTTCTGGCAGGTTTTCTCTATCCACTCACTATCTATTTTTCAATTTCGTAAGTCATACTTGCTTGTTACGGAAGAGGTAACCCATTTTCATTACTTTCAGCATTATTCAAAATATTTTACTTTTTTGATGACAGTAATAGTATATGTTTACTAGAAATTAGAAAAGATAAAGTAAGAACATGAAATATTATGTGCAAATCCACTCTTAGGAGGTAGATAATCATAGCCTACCTATGATTTTAATGTTTTGTTTTGCTTTCGTGCTTTTAGGTATTTTGTGTTTAGGAATGGCACATAATAGTTTAATTAGTACCAAACTGTAAAGCAGCATATATCATTTTGTTGACTGGTTATATATTTAATGTGTATTTGTGTTTTGCTGTATGTATATCTGTGTACCACATGTATGCTTGGAAACAAGGCCAGAAGAGAGAACCAGCTCCCCTGGAAGTGAAGTTACAGATGGTTGAACTGCCATGTGGGTGCTGGGAATCAAACCTAGTTCATCCTCTGGAAGAGCAGCTAATTTTTTTAACTACTGAGCTGTTTATCCAGTCTTTGTTTTTGAAACAGGCACTCATTGTCGCAGGCTGGGTTTTGAAATTAAGGTTGATCATTCTGCTTCAGCCTCTTGGATATAGGGATTATATAGCTAGTGCTACTTATTTCTATGCACAAGTGAACTGTGAACTAAGATTCTCCTATAACTGAGTAATCACAGTAAAATAGTAAACAGCATGGTTTCTGTTTTGTTTCAGGATTTCCATGAAATTAAGTATTTGATTTTTTTTTTAGATTACATCGTCAACCCAAACATCTCCTTGCATTTTTATTGGCAGAATTGGGTACAAGGTAAGAAACTGTATGCAAAAAGAGTACTGTTTGACACTTCAAAAGAATCACTTGTGGTGGCGCACGCCTTTAATCCCAGCACTCGGGAGGCAGAGGCAGGTGGATCTCTGTGAGTTCGAGGCCAGCCTGGTCTCCAAAAACCAAAAAAAAAAGAAAGAAAAAAGAAAAAAAAAGAATCACTTGTGTAATTTGAACATACTCAGAAAAAAAATTCATCTTACTTCCAGAGGATATTACAGTTGTGGTTTTTACATTACACTCATTGTTTAAGCATAAGGAGGAAAGCTAGCCATGTATTTTACTTCTCAGAATATCCTGCACTTGGTATAGAGGTGGGGTAAATTCTGGCAAGTTGTGACTAGTGAACTTTATGGTTGGTGGGTTAAATATTTCAGAGTTGTTGGGAAAATTCCCATTTCTTTTCCTTCCTTTTTGGACAGTGAAAAAATGCCGTACTTTGGAATCAGGGTAGCCTAGGTAGAGGGGGATCAAGGGTTACAATTCATGGTAATGTGATAGTAAATCTTCAAAGGAAAATCAGTTTCATCTGCAAAAATCCACTTTAAGATAGGAACAAATATAAATTTAACGCTACTAGACTTAATTTTGTTTTACTTTGTGATTTGTCATTTTTAATAAGCAATAATGTCTAACAAGGCTGGCTCTGAGCTCCTAGGCTCATGTAGGGATTCTCTTGCCTAAGCTACTTGATGACTGGGATTACTGGTTCACACCACTGTATCTGGCTTAGATTATTATTTATATATTGATGTTTTGAGAAAGGGTCTCACTATGTAGCCCAGGGTTGCCTTAACTTGTGGTAGCCCTGTTTCTGCCTCCCACATGCTAAGAGTACAGGTGTACACTGCCATGCTTGTCTTCAAAATTTTAAAAATAACATATAACCTTTTTTACATTTGTATCTCCCTCATTTTTTTTTGCAGTTGGTATGCATTCAGTAAAAAATTTTTTCTTATATTGAACAGGCAATCAGATCCACACAGTTGAGGGATCAGTTTGTTTTGGACATAGAAATCTGATTGTTAACTAGAGATAGCTGAAGTTGGGTTATATGTTAAGAAATATGAGTATAAGGAGCCTGGCAATGGTAGTAGCACATATCTTTAATCCCAGCACTCAGGAGGCAGAGGCAGGTGGATCTGAGTTCAAGGCCAGCTTGGTCTACAGAGCGAGTTCCAGGACACCCAGGACTACACAGTGATATCCTATCTCAATAATAATTTTGAGGGGCTGGAGAAAGATCTTAGTAGTTAAGAGCAGATACTGCTCTGGGAAAGGACTTGAGTTAGGGTTCCAGCACTTATAGGGCGGCTCATAACCACCTATAACTCCAGTTACAGGAGATCCAACACTTGGACTCCACAGGAACCAGCACTCTGTGGTGATATTTTGTTCCCCAAAATATTGTGTACCCTAATAAACTTATCTGGGGTCAGAGAAGAGAAAAGCCACTAGATATTTAGGATAGGCAGTGGTAGCACACACTTTTAATCCTAGCATTCCAGAGGCAGAAATCTATCTGTTCAAGGATACAGGCAAGCATGGCGACTCATGCCTTTAATCCCAGAAAGTGAGCCCTTAATCCCATGGAGTGATGGTAGGAAGCAGAAAGGTATACAAGGCGTGAGTGCCAGGAACTAAAAGCATTTGGCTGGTTAAGCTTTTAGGTTTTGAGCAGCACAGTTAAGCTGAGAGCCATTCGGATAAACATGCACATAACTCTACAAAGACATATACACAGCAAAAGATAAATTCTTAAAAAAAAATTGAGGCCAAGTACAGCAGTACATATGAGTAATGTTAGCACCTGGAAGGCAGAAGAGGATCAGAAGTTCTGGGCCAGTCTGGGACATATAAGTTCCTTACACACACACACACACACACAAAAAAAAAAAAAAAAAAAAAAGAAAAAAAAAAAAAGATTGAGGAACTAGATAGTGGAACACCCTAGAAATTATCCTACACTATTGAATATATTTTAAGTACATTAAGGTATGCAGGTGCTGGAATTGGGTTCCCTCAGAAAAACAAAAGTAATGGGGATATTTATGTTTTCTTTCATAGTGGTTCTATAGATGGTAATAACCAACTTGTAATCAAAGGAAGATTCCAACAGAAACAGATAGAAAATGTCTTGAGAAGATATATCAGTAAGTGTATAATTGGACTTTATCCTGTCAGTCTGAAATGTTCTCTTTAAGCTGTGGTGTTCTGAAATCCGTTTATAATGAACTTGGGAAAACAAACCTTAAAATGATGGAAAATGGGGCTGGGCGTGGTAGCACACATAGTCTCAGTACTTGAGAGATCTGAGTTTGAGGCCAGCCTGGTCTGCACAGAGAAACCCTATCTCAAACCCACCTCACCTCCCAAAAGCGGGGAGAAGATGGAAAATGACAGGAGGTAGAAAGCCCAGTTGATGCAGCCTCTGCTGGCTGGCTGATCAAGTCAGAGAAACCTGCCTCTAATTCTGGCGGAGACTGTCTCTTTTGTTACCTAATCATTTAAAATTGGCTTGTCCTGCCTGTTTTCACCTAAGGCAAAAGTGGATCATCCATAGATGGCACCAAGAATAGGCATCTGGCAAACGTCCCTAACTCTGGAGTATCTGAAGTCCTTTCAACATGTATCTTACTGCCAAAAGCATAACAGACAGCTTAGTTTGTATTTTATCCTAGAATAGCTATGTTTACCTAGGCTTTCCTGCCTGGTTAGGGTAAACTGTCCTCTGAGCTTCATCTTATGAGATAGATGCATTTCTGTGGGCAACCAGGAGCCTCTGCCTTACTGTGTCTAGCAGGTAATTCTATGTTGCTTTTCCTGCAGAGGAATACGTCACTTGTCACACATGCCGATCACCGGACACGATCCTACAGAAGGACACCCGACTCTATTTCTTACAGTGTGAAACTTGTCATTCTCGATGCTCTGTTGCCAGTATCAAAACTGGCTTCCAGGCTGTCACGGGCAAGCGAGCACAGCTCCGTGCCAAAGCTAACTAATTTGCTAATCACCATCGATTTTTCCAAAAATGTGTGGTGGAGATTTGGCCGAACAGGTTACCATCAGAGTGGACGTACCATTTGATTAAAAACAAGATAGAAAAGCCAAGTTCTTTGGCAAGTGATTGATCTGAAATCCTTGCAAGATGCCGATACTCAAGCTGTTGACATACTCGTTGCCTACTTTAACAACTGTCAGAGAAACGTGATGGGGTAAGGAGGTGCTTTTTAAAATCGTTCATAGACTTCTGTAAAATGCAAGATAAATTAAAGTTATTATAACAGTGATTCTTTCAATTTGATCTGTCCTTCAGTTTTCTTTTCTACAATAAAATGCTCGTGAATTTGGCAAAAAAACAACAAACTTGGTTCCTGGACTTTGGCAAGTTCTCTCTGTCCTCAGAAACTGAATAGTGGCAGATACTGGAGCTGGGCAGCCATTTTCCCTTTAAGTTTCTCTTGAGCTACATAGCTAGAATGGGTTATGACTTGAGTGGTTGGGACACAAGACATGGGACAGCAGCCTGTTTTTAGTATCCCGAGAATGAAGGTTTTGACTTTTTCCTTTTGTGAGGATTGTTGCTACTACCTCACTGCCAATTCCTCATTTCCCTCCTGTGACAACAGTTGAAACTGACTTCGGCTGAAGAATCAGCCTTGTCACACAAGGGAACTACCAGGTGCTAGGTTCCCCGTCCTTGGAATTCTTGTTACAGGCCTGTATGTCCTATACTTACCCTGGCATACTAAAGTTAGGCCTTTCTGTTGTTGAGAAAGCATGTGTAGTACAGAGAAGTCTTCTTAGGGTCTAAATAGCAGCACTTAAGGAAGCTTCTTCAACCTGTGTTCTAGGTCAGTAAAAGATCCCCCTCAAATGCTTTTCTGTACTAAACTAACCTGAATGTGGCCAAGAATCCAAGAGATGCTGCTGCGTGTGGTCTTGCTATTACCTCCAGCTCTGCTTCTGAGGACTGAGCTAGCGAGGTATTTTCCATCGATGCACAGGAGGTTTCATCTTGTGGGTCTGTGCTGTAATCTGCCTTACTTGCATCCACCAGGATAAGGACATGCACGATGCTCCTCACTTTCCTGCCACCAGACTGTTAATCTTGCTAAACAGCCCAAGAACAGTCACTCAGCCAGCCCTGATGTCTTGACAATGTTGTTTTTAATTACTGTGACCCTGAAATTTTCAAGTATAGGCCAAGTGTTACCAAGTAACTTGGCTGTGAAGTGGTAGAGGGAACTTTCCCTCAACCAAGTAGGTCAAGATGAGCTAGTCATATATTGGCTGACCTGCCACCACTCACTGCCATGTTGATCACAACTGTTTATGACTGCAATTTTTTTTTCATTTCTTTTTTTCTTTCTTTTGTACCTCTGCCCCTAATTCCCAATGTTGGCTATTATTGCGTGAATAAAGCAAGGATCAGTGCCTCTTGTATAAATAGTGCTCCATTGATTTTGTGTGTTGTATGTTCTGTCCAATTCTTTTCTTGGTGGGACTCCTTAGGGGATGGCATGGGACAGTTTGACTGGTTGGTATCTGCTAGTGATTACAACCACAATTCTCAACTTCATAATGGTGAACATTAGGGAACTGGTAAAGGACAAAGCTGTGTGTGGCAGCACACTATAACCCCCAATATTTTGGAGACCTAGGCAATACCATCAAGAGCTCATAGCCAGCCTGGATATAGATGGTATAGATTAGATTAGAATCTATCTAAATTTGTACCTCAAAAAACAGGAGGGAGGGGGAACAGCAGAGCCCAGGTTATTGTAAAGAGTCTAGGGCTAGAAAGGTGGCTCAGTGACTTAATGCTTTGAGAGGACTCAATTTGAATCCCAGTACACACATGGCAGCTCACAACTATCTAACTCCAGTTCCCAATGCCCTCACAGGTAAAATGAAAGTTATACACCTAAGAACATGAAACTTCTTAAAAATCTAATATGAAAAAGAGCTTAGGAGTGTTTAACCTGTGACCAGCAAGCAGGCCAATCAAAGATTACTTTAAAAACATGACATTTTGCTGGACACCTTTAATCCTTCTCAGGATTAAAGGCACTCGGGAGGCAGAGTCAGGTGGATCTCTGAGTTCCAGGACAGAGTTCCAGGACAGGTACAAAGCTACAGAGAAACCCTGCCTCGAAAAACAAAAAGACATTTTGTGTTTTATGCAACTCAATCACATGGCTCTTTATGATGGTAACCTCTTGTTGAAATGTCAAGAAACTTAAGTCAGTGAGGTTAAAAAGTCCAGACTACCATGGGAAAACTCAGAGTGGAGGACATGGACCTAGGTGGCAGGGTAGGGAATGGTGGCAACTGAACAGACAAGGGTTCACAAAGAAAGACTTAACTGGGGCTGGACAGGGTAGGCTTTGACTCAGGTCATTAAAGATAGCACAGTGCAGCTGCCCGAGTAGTCTGATGCCAAAGATTAGGTTCCAAGGCAAAGGGTAGAGAAAGGTACAGGCAGTAGAGAAAGTCTGCAAAGAACACTGGGAATGTACAGAAGAGACTCAAGACTCAGGAGCAGTACTTCATTCAGGCTACAGATTTGCATCATGACTCCCAAGGACACGGAAAAAACGTCAGTTCCCAGTAGATTAACAGAATGTATCTCAACTTCTGGAAGACTGTAAGGGACAAGCTATACCTGTAAAGAATTTAGCAGAATACCCATGAAATCTCTGATCTTCCCTTCTCTTTCAACACACACCCTCTAGAGAGCCAATACTACAAAAGCAGAGTACAGCTAAAGTGCAGGTGTGGAGGCATATTCCTGTGATCCCAGCACTCAGGAAGTCGAAGCAGAACTTTAAGCCCAGCATGGGCTACATAACAATCAAAAAGCTCCACTCATACAAGCAGTTGCTGAGTCATAAGCTACTTTCCAGAGGTTTCCTGAACACTCCACATTCAGCATCTGTCCTCTACCAGAACAGAAGCTGCTGTGTGGCTGGTCGCTAGAACTGGAAATGTTTAATAAGGGATCCAGCAGAGAAGGCCTGCAAACTGGTTAAGAACGCAGGTCCACCCTTGTGTCCTGAGGTGGGGAGGCCTTTCCAAGAAGGGGACATTTAGTTCCTAAAGAACAGTCCACTAGTACAGAACCCTAATACATCCCTAAAAGACCAGAACAGCAGCTGAATCAAGGCCATTTCCCAAAAAGGGAACAGGAGCAAGACATTGCCAGGTCAGAGCAGTGTCTGAGCAAAAGGCCTAAATTGACCAAAAGGAAAAACAATTTAGGGATTACAGTTACATGCTACCTTGCCCAGTTTAAATTTTAAAAGTCCTTACCATTAGGAAAGAAAGCTATTTCTTGCTTTGAGCTATTTAAATTTTAGAGTCTGCATAGATGCTCCAAAAATGGTACATTTGTGGGGTTTTGTTTTTTGTTGTTTAAGACAAGGTCTCATGGTGTCCTGGCCAGCCATGAACTGCTCTTTCTGCTTCCACTTACTCAAGTGCTGGGATGATAGGCATGTGCCATCACACCTAACTCGAATCATTTTAGCAGAGGAATCCTGGCACAAATGGATCCGTATTGGACACTGGAGGCTGTTCCTGGAGAAGTTAGTGATGGCAGAACATAAGGGTTGAACATACCAGCTCTCTGGTGGACAGAAGGCTAGAATACTGCTTGGGGCCGCAGGAATATATCATAAGAACTCAGCTGGTTATGGCAAAGTCACTACCTGGAGGAATCAGGGAATTCCTCCAGAGGAAGCCAAATCCCAAAGAGTTTTTGGTGTTACTTGGCTTGTTATATATCAGCTGTATGTATTCTGTTATGAAAATCATGTGTGCCTTCAAAGCTTTCCCAATTGACTTTTCCCTAAGAAGGGTTAACAGTGTGGACTGATCACTCTCTGGACATACACATTCCAGGAATTTGGAGAACTGCCTTAGGAAAGGCTTTCTCTGGAATCAGATTCTCCCTTTGCTACTTTCAAGGACTAGCAGTAATAACAGTCCACATGCCAAGTCTCCTGATTTAAGATAAATTCCACAAGGAGACACCGCCTCGGTCAGGTGGACATTAGTAATAGCTTTACACAATTCAGCTTGACCCTCCTTTTGTTATAGCCTTACCAACTTTATAGACCGCTAACTCCTTACCTAACCACTTCTAGGAATATTTAGATAACCTTCTGCGCTGACAGCTAATGCTCAGCCAGAACTCCAGTTCAAGCCTCCCTGTAATTATCATTAGCAGCATCTGGCCAGGTCCATTCCCAGATGGAGGAAAGTACTTTATCAGAGATACCTCTGTAATCTCTAAGAACAGACTTAAGCATCCGGGCCATCTGTTTGAGAAGGCCTGGCAGATGTGCCAATTAAGCCTTACTTCCTCCTTTCCCAAACCTTACCTCCAGTTCCAGATCTCCCTTTAACTATCACCAGAGGCATCTAGCTGTACACAGGTTGCCTAGCGACTGAGCATACTTTCCCCCACCCTGCAGAAAAAAGGCAGATAGCTTGGACAGATAGGAGCCACAGGAAAAAAGAAGACAGTTTTATTTTCCCCCATTGACCTAGCAACTTATAGATTCTTAACACTTTCTACCAATCACATTTAAGATTATAGTTGAGCACATAAGAGCCCTCTTCTTAGATATTACCTGAATTTAGCCTTTAGTTAATTCATTCCCCCATTGGTCACTTCCCTTTGGGGTTGCAAATGATAATTAATGGTTATTGCCTCCCTATGTGATTCTTATCACCCCTCCATTTGACCCTGGAAGCCTGGTTTTGCACTGCTAAGGGAATACTGCTTGTAAGGGTATATATAACCAGGACTCCCAGGGCACGAGAGACAGAGAAGAGAAAAAAGAATAGAAGAACTAGATGGGTAAGAACTTGAGAGGAACGAACGGAGATGGGGAAGAACTAGATTGAAGGGCTAGAAGAGAGGACTAGAGGAACGAGATGGAAGATGAGGAAGAACCAGATGGGGAAGAACAAGATGAGGAAGAGCCAGATGAGAGAGAAGGAGACGGAAGAGGAGCTGATAGGGGAAAGAACTAGATAGATGAGAACCTAGAAGGGACAGAACTAGATGAAGGAATTAAGATAGAACCTAGAGGGGACAGTAGACAAATATAGAGAAATCAGGCAAGGAAGGAGCTAGGCATGAGAGCAGAATAGAAGCTGTGTAGAGAGAGAACTCACACAGAATAATAAAGTGTGTGGACTAAGGAGTTTCGTGTACATAGATTCATTTCTTTTCATCAAAGATTAATTATCAGCTGGTTGTAGATTCTTCCTGGTCCCTGGGAGGGGACTATCGAGGGGCTGGACCCCCATAGTCCCCGATAGAATACCTCTGTGAGAAAAACCACAGGCCAGTGTGCTTTGTCTAACTGACACAAGCTCGAGTCATTTGGGAAAGAAGAAAACCTCAATTGTGAGAAAATTCCCCTACCACACTGGCCTATGCTGCATTTTCTTGATTGGAGATTGATGTGGGAATGTCTAGCCCAATGTGGGTGCTTTAAGAAAGCAGGCTGAGCAAGCCATGAGGAGCAAGCCTGGAAGTAGCACCCTTCCATGGCCTGTGTATCAGTTCCTGCCTCCAGGTTCCTGCCTTGACTTCCCCAAATGATAGACTGTTACCTGAAGTAGAAGATAAAATTAACTCTTTCCTCCTCAACTTTTGGTCATATTGTTTTCTCATAGAAGAGACAGTGAGAAGGCTCAATGGCTAAGTGTTTCCTGCCCAAGCCTGACAATCCCCAAAATTCACCTACATGTGGAAAGAGCAAACTGTCTCCACAGAGTTGTCCTTCAACCTCCACATATGGTTTGACATGCACATGGTCTACCACCACACACCATACATGCACAACAATAAATCTAAACAAAACAAAACCAACCAACCAAATAAGCAAACCATTCCACCTCAGAGTATATTTGGATCCAATCTCTTTATTGTCAGGTTCCCCCCACCCATCCCACCCCCCTACTTTCAAACCTATAGAAAAACCCCAAGCCTAGGAATGCCCTGGGGAAGAAGGGCAGAATGTGTTCTGCCCTTTGGCCCAGGCAGTGCAGACAGGAAGAGTGCATGGGGTAAGGGTAGGCCAGTAACTCCACTTGCAAAGGATGTAGCACTCACTGGCTGGGATGCATGGGGAGAGGAGTGCCTGCTGCCAGTTTTCCTCTGGTACCCGCTACAAATTGGCATCCAGAAACGAGTGCCTGGCTTGAGGCCTGAGACAGTGATGCCCTTCTGCTGGTAGCCATTTCTCCTGTCAAGGCAAAGAAGAAACTAAGACTGAGAGAGAAAAAACTTTGAGCATAGGGGGTAAGGAAAAAGGGTGGACTGTCTGCGGAGCTATGTCTGCACCTTGCCTAATTTTCTGACCACGTAATTAAACACGGGAAAGGCTCAACTCCTCCCTTGAGCTATCTCTCCACCTGAGCCTCAATACCTAACATGAATTAGCTTCACAATATATAATAAACAGTGTTCTGGGTAAAAATAAATTCATCAAGTGCCAAGAGGAAAGACTTATGAGGAATTTACTAAACTAACCTGGAAGCTCTTACTGATAGAGATGCTGTATTATAAATGTGTGATCTATCAAGGCACCTTTCTGTCACCTGTAAACCTCTAGGGTAGAGCAGAACAGGATGACAGACAGTGGCCAGAGTGGAGGCTTTGGGGCTGCATATTACTAAATTCAAATTTAAGCTCTAATTACTATCTTGGATTTTCATGAGACATACTAGTATTTCATTCTACCCTTCAACATCTGCATTTCCACTTCTATGATACACACGCAATCCTAATCTTGCAGGGTCGAAGAGGAAAGCAGATGAACTAACAGCTCCTGTCACACAGGCTTGCAGAGCATCTCCTCCCTTAACAGAATTAAGCTGAACTTCTAGCCCATGAGACAGACACTTCCTAGTCACTCCCTCTGAAAACAAATGGCAACTTCCCCCTACTCCGCAGGGCTGGGTTACAGGACAGGCAGCTCCTGTCCTGTACTGCACCCTGAAGACTGTAGAATGCTGTGCTCCAATAAGGCCGTCTGTTCTCCCTCAGAATACACACACTAAGCTGCACAGCATTTCTTCCACCACCCCCAGTCTGCAGTTTTCCTCCATTGTCATCCTGCTCCCAAGGGAACACTTTCTGAGTGGCCCTGATATACGTGGCCACTGGAGTAAGGCTGAATGTGAGGACCTTCAGCCTTGGCACAGTATGGCTCTCTAGACCCACATCAGGAAGAAACTGTAACCTCCACTTCATTGGTTTCCTGTGCTCCTGTGGCGCCCCCATACCTGCTTACTGCAAGGCCCCATCTTCTGCATCTGTGTCCTGGCTGTGCTCCTGAGAGGAAGAAGACAAGCGGAGATCATTCACTGTAGGCCCCAAGTTCTGCCCTGAGCTATCTGTTCAGAAAGGTCCTGTAGCTCAGAGTACTACCTGGAGGACCATTAGGAAAAGAGGTCCAATGAAAGGAAATGAGCCACAAAAACTGGCTTAGGGTCCTGAAGATCCCACAAGAAATGGAAGGGACCAGTCAGGGGATTTGCTGGTGTATCAGGGGCCCATTTCTATGCATGAACGACCATGGACTACAAAGCCAGACAGGTCAGTGGGCTGCCCAACTTGGGGGTACTTTTTAGTCTTCAGAGCTTTCACTGAGAGTTCTATGCCGAAGAGAATAAGATGAAACGCCAGGGAAGCTTAAGAAAAAAGGAAAGAAACAGTCTATCCTCGTGCTGTAAGCCAGCAGTGGGTAAAGAAAGTGCTCCAGACCCAGTCAAGTCCTAGGCTTCCAGACAGGTCTTGCTCTTACTTGCTGTAAGGTCCTGAGCGAGGTACCTGGCAACTCTGCACTTGAGCTTCTTCATGGTAAATGTGGTGGCCATTCTTTTCTAATGTGTAGTTCAGGACTATTGGTAAGTTACACAGTGTGATGATATTCAACTCAGTGTTCACTAAACAAGCAGCGAACACACTGTAGCAGGCATCTTGAATGTTGAAAGAATCGGACCTTTTCACTCAATTTAGGCCCACTCTCATGGCTCCTAACCTTACCCTGAACACTCCAGTATTCGGCTTTTAGAAAATTCTGATGTGAAATTAAAATTCCCATGGCTTCCCTTGTCACCCCCTACCCTCCCTGAGAGGCTGTGTGTGCAATTCTTCGGCTCAAGTCTCCTCCTCCTAGACTAGACTAGAAGACAGATTGGGCCCTGGCTTGGCTGAGGTCTGCCCCAGTCGTCAGTGGGACTTCTGACCAGCAGCTCAAGCAGTGAACTATACACTGCTCACTCTTCCCACCCCTCACAGCACTGAGGCTCTGGAAAGCAGAAAGGAATGAGCTTATCAGGGAGCAACAGCAGCCCTTCCACGTCACATGGCTAGCCAGGCCCTTACCAGCTCCTCCTCACTATGTGTCAGCAGTCCCTCCTCATCGCCATCATCTCGAGTTTGGACTTCTCCTTGGGGTGTGCCTGCCTCAGAGGCCGTGTCTTCGTGGGGGGCCGGGGGCCGGCTGCTGCTGCTGCTGCTGCCGCCACCGCCGCCACCGTTGCCGCCACTACCACCAGCACTGCCACTGGTGCCTCCGCCACCGCTGCCACCTGCTCCGCCACTGCTGCTGTCACCCTTCTTCTTGCCATCTTGAAGGATAGAAAAGGACTAGTGTTCAGCTAGAGCAGCTACTCAGCACCCCTAGTCCAAGCTGGTCACTATGTAGCAGGGGCCCTAACCCTTGGGCACACTCTCTCCCAAGCATTGCCCTCAAAGCTGACCTGGGTTGGCCTTTTGTTCCTCAGCAATCTGTTCCAAGCGACCCAACAGGGCATCGATGTTGGACTTGATCTGTGTCAGCTCCGTTTTGATGGTCTGTAGCTCGCTGCTCTTTACTGGGAGCGGAGAGGAGACAACGTTATCACTTAGGGGCACAATGCAAACAAAACCCCCTCCTCACTGTGCCAACAGGGGAGGCCTTTCTCTTTCTCTTTCTCTCTCTCTCTCTCTCTCTCTCTCTCTCTCTCTCTCTTGGTTCTTTTCCAGCCAAGAGAAAAGGTTGACACATGTCTTTAGCTGTGTTACAGGGTGGGGTCTGTTTTTAGAGGCATAAAGAGTCTTTTTGCAGTTAGATTTCCTGACTGCAGTATACAAAGACCAGAATAAATCTGTCCTCATCCTAACTAGAGAAAGATATACTACTGCTTCAGTGGGTGTCACACCACAGCACTGGACTTATTTTTTCTTTAAAGAAATGCATCCAAACACTTGATTGTTGAGTAATTTCTACTGGAGATTTCCTCCTTTATTTCCTCACTGTTGATAAAGTCTAGGGGCTAGAGAGATGGCTCAGTGACTGAGAGCACTGGCTGCCCGTGCAGACCTAACTTTGATCGCCAGCACCTCCAAGACAGCTCGAAAATGTCTTTAACTCCAGTCCCGGGGGAATCAGTCACCCTCTTCTGGCCCCCACAGGTACTGTACATACACGGTGCAGAGACACACATGCAGGCAAACACCCATACACATAAAACAAAAATAAAGATTAAAATTTTAAAAATCAATTGTTTAAAAAAAATGTGATTCTATTATTTAAGTGATGATAAAAAACAAACCATCCAGAACAGTGGTTCTCAACCTTCCCAATGCTGCAACCCTTTAATACAGACCCCCAACTATAAATTTATTTCATTGCTACTTTATAGCTGTAATTTTGCTATTGTTACGAATCATAATGTAAATATCTGATATGCAAAGGGGTCCAAGATCCAACGATCTAGAAAGGCTGGAAGACATCACCAGGACGTGGTGGCACACATCTTTAATTCCAGCACTCAAGAGGCAGAGGTAGAAGAACTCTTACAAGTTTTATGTCAGTCTGGTTTACATGGTAAGTTCCAGACTAGCCAGATACACAGTGAACCTGTCTCAAAGTTAAAAAAATAAATAAAGTCACTCACACTTGATCTTGGCTGAGCCAGTAGTGATGGCTGTGGAACGGGCAAAGAGCTTGACAGGTATTGTAGTTTTGACACGGCGAACCAAAGGGACCGTGACACGGGGTCGCTTCACGGGGACTGCCCTGGGCACAGGCACTGGAGAGAGGCGGCCTCGATAATCAAACAGCCTGCAAAGGCAAAGAGACCAGAGGCTGCAGCATGGCCTGTGACCACCAGGAGGTACTACAACACTAGCTTTACCTGTGTAACCTGAAAGGGCCATGGAAGAAGTGTCTGCTTCCAACAAGCCCTGGTATGAAAAGGGATTTTGGGATCCTAAAGGCTAATGAAAGCCTTACCATTTCCACCTTATCCCCAGCCACGCCAGGAGAAGCAGTATAGGAACAAACAGCCCATTCTCAGAAAGGAGCCTTTCCTGAAGTCAGCCACATCCAGGCCTGCCTTCTACTCAATCAAATAACTGCCACCCCAACCTTTGATTAATTTGTAAATATCAAAACAGCATAAATCCCCACCTGGAAAGAGAAAGAAGGGTTTGAAAATAGGTGGCTAACCCTTGAACCATGGTTGTCCCGTCTACTTCATGAGGAGGGCTGTCCAAGTTCACTGTCTACCTGAGTGTGCAGTAAGGGAGTGTGCCTGAGAACCTGGTTACAAACACCTGAGAAGGTGTGACAAGTGACAGCTGGGTACCAGGGGACTGACACACTCAATCGAGGAACCCATGGCCTCAGACTCTAAGTCCCCTTTTTCTTGTGGACCACTTCAACACCTTTTTTTCTTCAGAGATACAGGCCAAGCACTCCATAGTATTTCAAGGATGGGCACTAAAAATTAGACTCAAAGTTCCCAGACTGTGTGCTGTCACTCTAACATAACCTGGCCCTCTCCAGAAGGGCTTCTCCTCTTGAAAACGAGACAAACTCTGAAGGCTGAGGAGGGAACTCTTCCACATCTGCTATGACCGTGGTTCTGAAGGGAACCAGACTTGGTCAGGGATATCTCTACAACTACTTTTTGGATGGGTACCTGCCATCACTAGGAAACTCAAGGTCCCACTTCTTGGTGCTCCTGTTCAGAGTCCTGCAGCTGGTGGCAGCTAGTATTCAGTCTCTGGGAAAGAATCAAATCCCTGATCCTTCATTTTGACCCACAAGGGGAGGTGATGATCACCGAATCATAGGACTGCAAGAGCTTCAGGAGTCCTGAGAGGCCATTTGGTACAAGCCTATCATCTCACTGACTAGCAGTAGGAGAATTTGCCCAGACAGATAAGCCATTCAGTGGCAAGACTGAGATTAGCATGCAAGACTTCTGACTTCTGGGTTATGACCCTTTCCACTGTACCACATTATTTCCTGAAAACACTGACAGCAAAGGACATGGCTCAGAAAAGCTGTTTTCCCTGGGCTATCTGGAGAAGGAAGGAGAGGTTTTGATTTAATCTTTACCACAACTTCTAGTCAAACACATGACCAGGAGGTGGCACTGTGGTTAGTCTTGTAATCCCCACACTCAACAGGCAGATGGAAGAAAGAGGATAATGCGTTTGCAAAACTTCTCAACAAACAAATGTGGCTGGGGCCTCTGAAATAGACTTCAAGGTTGAAGTCTAGGTAGGATTGGGGATAGATGGAGATAGAAGGCAGATCACAACCCATCAGGGACTAATTCAGGCCTCCAAATAACTGTGACCTCCTAGTCACTAGGGTCAGACCAAACTATGTGTGTGGGCTTCCTTTCTGGTTGTGAGCACCTTGCAGAAACAGAGACTGAACAAGAGTTTAAAGGCTCAAGAACTCCCTGTGAAAGCACTGTGCCTGCTTTCGTACTGCAGCTGCCCAGCTGTGCTCATCCTTTAGCTGTGCACTCCCTACACTACAGGACTAGGAAGAGGCGAGGCAGTCAGAATGTGAGAGTCGGTGTGACAGTAGTGCTCTGGCCTGAGCACTTACAAAATGAGACCCTAGTCCTAGCTCTGCCCTGATTTGTGAAGCAAAGACCCATTCACAATTCTGTGCTTCAGTTCCCAATTGGAGGACTTTGTGAGCTATACTAGCAATCTCTTAAGACCCTTCCAGTTTGGCTATTTAATGCCTAGACACGCCCCTTCCCTGCTCACCTGGCATAGCAGTAGTCTTGATAGTAATCATAGTCAAAGCTGTAGCCACTAGGAAAACAAAGGGAGATGGCCACTCAGCCCACTTCTCCATAGGTCCTCATCTCCAAATGTCTTCCTACATTCTAAGCTCGGCGGCACACTGTCACTATCAGCATTTATGCCCTCTGTGAAGAGGAACTCAGCCAATGCAGACAAAAAAACAGACATAGAGCCTCACCTGTATATGGCAGTTGCTGCTCTCTTTAGCCCCTTGGGTCTGTTGGGCTTGGGCTCTCCAGCCATGTTGATATCTGTGTGGAGAGAAGCAGCAGAGTTGGAATGCCGACATG